GCGCGCGCCGCGGCCGTTGAGGGCGGGGCCGCCGCTGAGGGGGCAGGAGGAGGAGGAGGGAAAAGGCGGCGGCAGCGGTAGCAGCAGCATGGCGGCCGGGCGTGAGCGGCCGAGCGCGCCACCGCCGCCTTCTCCTCCTCCTTTTTCTTCTTCGCCGCCTCCTCCTTCTTCTCCTTCTTCTCCCGCCGAACCGGAGACCGCCGGCCCGCTGTCCAAATAACCGCTGCCTCGGTCCTGCCTTGGAAGAGTAGGCGCCCCGGCCATGGAGCTCGCCAAGCCGGCCTTCCCCGCGCTGCCGCAGGCCAAAGAGGACTCGGAGGTGAGCGGCGGTGGGGAGTTGGTCAAGGGTCTGAGGAGAGAACAGGCCCTCCTCCGGCTCCCCCCTTCGTCTCTGTCCCCCTCCCCTCTTCCCTCTGCCCTGAGGGTGACAGCCCTCCCCGCTGTCCCCCTTTCCCCTGGGCCCCACTGGGCCTCGCTGGCCGTCTGCCTGCTCTGGGGGCTGTTAGCCAGCCTTGCCTGCTGAAGAGAAGGTGCCTGCTGTCACAGAAGCCCTCCATCCGGTTCATCTCGCCTGGTTTTTGCCCTCTGGTGGTGGCCACCCCCCTTAGTTTGCTGTCCCTAGTGTCCCCTCTTCTTCCTTGCTTCAGGGTGTCATGGCCTGCCTGTTAGTAGCCCTTTTGCTTTCCTCTCCCCTTTGTATGGTCACCAGTGCTGTCCTCCATCTGCTGCTGGCTGCCAGCTTGTTCCTTTTTGTACATGCAGAAAGGTACCTGCGCCTCCCCTTCCAAACAGTTGGTGCCTACTAACTCTTAGACACTCAAGCAACAATTTGGCGCTCTGATGACTCTGCTGGGGAGGCATTTTTATGGTGTTCCTGAGCCAAGACTTCTCTGCAAACTAAGACAGGTGGCAATATCTGCTAAGACTAAACTGCACCCCGCGTGGTGTCAGAGGAGTCGGGTCAGTGTGGTGTCTGATTTCTGAACTTGGCTTAGCTTCTCACCCTGGATACTGGTGGTGTATTTCCATGTGTCACAAACAGCCCTGAGCGTCCCGCTTTGATAGTGTCAGATATTTAATGCAAAATGTCACAGTGTTCGTGCAGGGAGTTGACAGTGTCTGAGCTCCTCAGAGGTCTATAGACTGTTGCATATTTCATAAACGTTAGCATTTACTTGTTTAAATTGAGTTATGCTTGAGTGCTGTTATTGTGGTAAGTTACCTGAAATACGGTATTTAATATGTTGGGGGTTTTTTGGCTTTGTTGTTAAGATTGAATACCCTCTTCACCTTAGAGCTATGGAGGTATTTACAAGTCACCTTGATTGCTTTCAGAAAGTTGTAATCAGTTGGTATCTGAACACAAATTATATACCACCCTGTGAGGCTTATAATTTGTTTGTTTTTAAATATCTTTTCTTTCTGGAGAAACTGATCATATTATCTACAGTTACATCTGAAAATGGCTAAGTAGCCTGGATGGCTTTTTGAACCTGTTTATAACTAGGTTGGCTAAAAAGGAGCGTGCAGTTAAAATAGTTTTAAAAACAGAGGTCACTGCCGGTCGAGCAGCTCTTAGCTGATGAAAACTGAAATTATAATACGGTGTTCTTGGAGTGGATTTTATTGTTTGCCATTTTCATGTGCTTTCTCTCAGTAGTATAATGTATAGAATATTAGAATTTCACACACTGCAAGACCATAGTGGAGAATTTCAAGCACTATTTTTAAAAACTGTAAGGTAATTTTTTTTCAGCAACTTAGATTTGTGCATGACGTGGTCTAAATACACTGTATTTAATATTTGGGGGAAACAGAAAAGTTAAAGTCAGTGTGAGAACGTTGGGGTTCTTGTGGAGTGAACTTTTCAAGCAAAGGGTAAGATACTTCAGCCTTGGGCCTTCAGCTCAATCCTTAAGAAGAGATGGTTTGGAAAAGCAAACTAATTAAACTAAAATCATTCTGCCCACAAAAGCTAGTTATTCATGGAAAGCTGAAGATCATGTCTTCTGTGTTGTTGTGAAGAGGCTCTTTAATGAGGAGTACTGTCTATTATTTCAGGAAGTTGGTTATGTATGGTTTAATGCTGTCTTGGTACGTTTGATTTCAAGATATTGGGGGGGAAGTGGAAGAGATAAATCTTGGGGAATCCCTAGTTCAGTTCCGGATATAGGCTGCTCCAGAGTAAGTGTGACTTTGTGGTTGTTTTAAGGCAATCAGACTGCCACCCCCTAGCTCCCTTCTCCCTGCTGACACTAGTAACCATGTGACAGCTTAAATAAGAATTAAAAAAAAAAAAAAAGACACATCAGTGAGCTGATCTGGTTGACTGCACAACTTCACACTCCCTAGTGCTGGCACAAGGAAAAGTCAGAGAGCGGGCAAGGCTGTCAGTTGAGAGGGTGAGAGCAGTCTGTGGTTGGATTGACTTGGCAGACTGCAGAAATGGATTCGAGATAAATAGGTCGGGTTTCTGGCCTGTAGATTGTTTACAATGTCCCTGATTTCGTATGCAGTATTACACATTGCTGGATTTTTCAACTACTTGGCTATTGGTACTTTTCGGAGCTTGTGAAATGCCACGTTAAGAAATGCTGGTGATATTTATCAGCTGGAGCGAGTTATGCCTTCTTTGCATTCCTGGGCTGATACCATCTCGGCAATTAATGGATCAGAAGTTTGTTCTTTTGAGTACTTTTAGTGACAAGTGTCACTTCTTTTTTTTTTTTTCCCTGCACTTAGTGTGCACTTAGAGTTCGTTCAGGTGGTGAAACGATATTTGTTAGAGGTCAAGCACAGCCAGGTATTTGCCAGCATCTGCCACCCTTGGGTACAGCGTCTGTCAGCGCAGGCTTCCTCTGCTCCGCTCCGGTGCGCTGGCTGTGGCCGGGGTGAATTGTCCAGTTCTGCAAGGTGAGCTAGTGATGGCCAGGATAAGCCAGCTTCCATCTCTCACCGGTGAGTCTATGGTAGTTAAAAGCTGAACTCCCTTTTTACAAGTCCTTATGTCATCTGAGTATTTTCTAAATTTAATTTTTAGATATTCAACACGTAACTCGTCATTCTTGCACGGCTTTTCTGGTGGATGCCATGAACATCTGTAAACTCTACGTGTTCTTTTACAGATTGGTGATAGAGAATATGTCAAAGTCTTATTAGTGATCGTACATGGCATGGAAACCATTTCTAAGCTTAGATTTATATGTCTTTTTCTAAAATTGGCATATTTTCCAAGTTGAGGTCTCAAACTTCCTTAAATTTGAGAAGTGTTGAGTTTTTTCTTTTTCCGGTATAAGCACGTATGGCTAAAAATTAAAGAGGGTCAGGTTAAAAACAGTGCATAGTGGTATAATGGTACTTAGAGATCTTACCATCTTTGGAAAGACGGTAAATAAGAACTGGAATAATTCAAGGAATTTAATGAAAATTATGTTCCCACTAAATTTTAAACAAACAAGTGAAATGGTAGGATATATGTAATGGGAAGATAGCAATAATTACCAGTTCAATTCTTTGTTAAAATGTTAGCATGCTTGCTTGTGAGCAGGCTGAGTAAACTAGTATTCATCATGTATTTAGATTATTATTTTTTTTAGGACTCTTCATGGGTTTTGTAATGGAATTATCAGCTTATTAACTAAACAGTCATATTTGCCTTTTTATTATTCATGTAAAAACTGAGCTCTCTTTAACACATGTTTTTTTGAAGAAATTTACATTTCTTGCCAGCTATATTTAGTCTAAAATGCTAATGTATTTTTGACTGGTTTTAATCTGTGCATTTAATGCAGTCCATCTAAAGGGAGAAGAAATTTCTTAAACTTTAGTATTGCTTTTGATAGGAAACACAAATAACCCCCTTAAACATAGTGATTCCCCTTCTCTGCATATTCTTTAAAATAAGTTGGAAGCCTGTATTATTAACTTTATTTTACCTGCTGATGTAACAGAGCAAGAGAAATTTAAAACAAATGCTAAATGCTATCAGGTGACAGATTTTGATCCTAACTCTGTGGGATACTATCAGACTATTTTGCATATATCAAAAGAAGCGCGTTGTGGCAGCTGAAGTTGAGGAGTCTTGTCAGTTGTGATTAACTTACGCCTTGCATCCCTGGGAAGCCTATGGAAGAGGCTATAGGCATCCACACAGACGTGGAGGTGGCTCACAACTGGAGGAGTTTGTAGAAAAGGAGGTTTTTTTCATCTGAATGAGGATTGTGAAGAGACCTAGCCGGTCCTTGACTGTCTCAATATAGCCCAACTCACTAGGCTGTAATTAAAATTTAAAAAAAAATTAAAAAGCATGAAAAATTACATACTTGCACCATTATAAACAATTCTAATAGTAATCTCACTACAATTTTTCCTTTACTGGTAAAACTTGTTCTTTTGTGCTCATTCTACAGATTTTTTTGTAAAAAGTGAATCATCAAGCCCTATTATTTTAGTGGGTAGAATTGCCGTGGGGTGAATGCAGGAGAAATACTACTAGAAAAAATTCAGATGAGTTTTGGCTTCTCTGCAAGTCTGTTTAAAAAGGAAATAATACAAAAAGTGTGGCAGTCCTGCCATTTGACTGTGTGCTTTGTGTAAGCCAAAGAATTCTGCCTTTCCTCCTTTATTGTGCTTTAATGAAAGCCAGTGCTGATGATCCTGTGTGCTAATGGCTAGTTAAAGAGCTAGTAGAGGTTTTGGATTAATGTTACAAAATGGGACAAATAGGAAACATTTGTTTCTTATCTATGTTATATTTCTACTTTCCCTTTAGGTGCCTTCGCCTGCCTTTTGCCCTTTTCTGTGCCTTATGTTTGTCTTTGCTAAAGTAACCTTTATTTTCCTGTTGTACTCTTCTTCCTTCCTCTCTGTGCTCTGTCATTCCCACCTGCTATTGTTTTTTCTCTCCACCTTCCTGCTTTTGTACTCCTTTATGTTTGCAAAAGCAAAAATGTCTGTATGATGAAGACTTCCCAATGTCTCTTTACAAATACACAGCAAACCCTGTGAAATGCTGCTTCCCAGCCCTTGTTTACTGGTGCTGAGCCTGACCCTAAGTGGGACCTGTGACCGAGTGGGGACTTGCCCTTACAGCAAAGCCCATCTAATAGCTGGCTTTGCTAAAAAGTGGCTTTACCCGTCCTGCCAACCACCCAGCGTTGTCACCGGTTTTGTCCTGATGCAGATCTGACCTGTAGTGACCTGGAGCAGGGAGCTGACTGGGTAGACAACCAGCTTTGCTAAAAAAGCTGTTAGTTTGGGGCCATTATAGTTTCCTGGGTGAGGTGACCGTAGGATTAAACAAGACCTCGGGTTATCGGCGCTGTTAAAGCCTTCCCTAGCCCTGCTTTATAGCTCTGCTCTTGTTAGTGGTGTGTCCACATCTTGAGTGAACAAAAAGAGTGGGTTTAATTTTTTATATTTTATATACCTGCGCTAGGACTTCTGCCTGAAATATACCTATACGCATATTAAAAAAAAAAAAAACAAACACGCAGCTTCTCTCTGGAATAACTCTGTCCAAGAGTATGAAGTATGACCGAAACTGAAGATGTAGTCTTTGTAGCTGACTTAGAGTGCCTTAAAGCAGCATGCATCACAGTGACAGACATGGCAGGTTTCAGTAATAGGCAAATATTCTTCTTGAACTTGTTTTGAGCATATAATTTGTCTGTCGTCTTGTTAAAAAATGACAAATGAGTATGCTCTACTACTCCTTTACTATTTCATAATTTCTTTTTACAATTGTTTGTTCCATTTTACAAAGTCCATTGGTGTAACTTTATTTTTGTACAAGTCTTCAATGATAACATGTTGTCCCCTCCTTTTTGTTGGACTGTGTCAGCTGGGAGGCTTTTTTTCCAAAATATTGTCTAAAATATTTTCAAAACCAATCTGTGATCTCGCTTTGTTCTTTAAATTAGACTTAAAACTGCCTCAGAATTGAGCACAAAGCTTTTTTTTTGTCAAGGTAGTCTTTAAGGGATCAGGATCCATCCACAATCTGAGTTGTACCCTGCTAAGGAGGGGTGATAATAGTGTTAGTGGTTAATATAATCATGCCCTCTGACTGCTCTGATACACTGTTTAGCTGTAATTTGAATTTCCTGTACAGAGCAGTACAAAGTTGCAGCCAAGAGATGAGTTGGGCAGAGCAGATGAAGGAACTGAAGCAGGTCAGCAGAACGTGTGGCTGTTGCTGCCGTAACAGTTGTCTTCAGCTTTGATTTCACAGCTTGTGGAAGAATGTTGTACCAGGGTTGGAGGAGAGACTTTGAGTGTTAAAGCTTATATGAATATTCCACTAGGCAGGGAAACAAATTTAGGCAGGAGGATTCTGACATCACTGGGTTTTTGAGGTACACAAGGAGCAATCAATCATGCAGAAGTCTTGCTGTGATGGATTGTGATGGGAAGAGAAATCTGTACAGGGGGGTAAATGATGCTATTAATCAACAGCTGAAGGGCTGTCTGAGTATTGGGAAAGGGGGAGAAACTCGCAGTGGTCAGGGAGGCTTTACTAGGAGTCCCATGTGGCTCTTCGAAAGGACTTGAGTTGGCCTTGAAAGCAGTGAGTCATTCCATGGTGGCTGGTGCCCAGTGATGCTGGGCAGATAAGGAGCAGCTCCTAGAAGCCTAGGAAAGATACTTCTTGATGTTGGATTCTCCTTCTTTAAACTATGGATTTGATTTATTTTACTGGGGTTTTTTTCAGCACCTTTGAGAGCTTCTTCCTTCATCTAGGGCAGTTGTGGTTTGCAGGCTCTACTAATTATAAGGCAGCAGCAGTTTTAACCATAATAATGGAAGTGCAGTGCTGCGGGTTGCCTTTTAACCAAAGCTGAGCTTCGGCAGAGTCTGACTGGGATTTACCTTTTATATGTGGAAATTAGATGGGTCTTCAGACTTAAGCTGTGGGTTAGGGACCAGTTAAGCGTTGCTACCTATATCTGTTTCACTACATTCCTTCTGGTGAGGTATATGCAGATTGATAAGGTACATTGTGGTGCTGTGTTTAAAAAACACAGTCTTTGCTTTTGAGCATAGACAAGTTTCAATGTCAGTGCTGTTAAACCGTATTATTATTTTTAAAATTAGTTTTTATATTAAGTCCTAGCCAAAGTCACTCTTTCAGGAAAAAGTCCCCATGTCAATTGCACCTGTCAATGTTAGGTGTCAGGTTTTTTGCCATGAAACTGCTCTTCTAAAGAGGAGCAGGTATAGCTATGGCAAAATATTTACAGAATAACTGTAAATGTTGGCAGAGTAACTCCTGATGTAGTTTGGATATTGGTTACCAAGAAGCTTTTTATAGCATAGACAAATCTCACTTATTCATTCATATCTTCAATTTATTTCAGCTAGAGATTGGCTGTAGGTTAGAGAGGGGAGATTATTCCCTTTTCTCTTCATCGTCGCTTCATTCTGAGACAGCAGTTAAAGTGGTTGGGTAGTCCCTGGAGTTCCATTTGTGCAGAATACAAACCACAGCAGGTATGTGCTGTGAACACCCCCAGCAAAACAGCTGAGCTATCTTTTAAACTTGCCCATCAGTGAATCACAGTCTAGTTTGGGAAGATCTGTCAGAGATGAGTGAGTGGTTCCTCTTTAAAATTTTGGGATTGGGGTGGGGTTGCATTCCTTCTCTTTATCTTGTGAGTATTGAAGATCGCTTCTTCCAGTGAGTTGTCACTTCTTCTGTAGAACCTACCAAACGCTTAGCAGCAAGGAGTGCTGTTACTCTGTCCAACTCTAGCATCAGCAGTCCTTTTCTTAGCTAAATTCTTGTATTTGGTCTGATTAAAAAGAAAAACTTTTAGTTATTATTTGTCTACTGGATGCTTCAAACATTGTGGAATTCATTCATCATGTTTTCCTTAAAATGAGACCTGTTTGGGTTCAGTCTATATTAATAGATTTGGGATTTTTTTTTAACCATTTTGCATAACACTTGAATAATCTGGCATTGTTAGTTTTAAAAGCCTTGAAGGGCTGTCAGGAAATCACCAGAATCACTCTTTCAGTAATTTGTGTTACTTGCCTCAGATTAAATACTTTCTTTATACATCATTTTCGACATATTTACTTTGCAGACTAAATCCCACTGGAAATGGTGCCTTTTTGATTTCTTGGAGAACATTGTCTGGAGCCAACACTGACATTTTTCTTCTTGTTCAGAACATCTGTGGCATCTGTTGTCTTTTGGGTTTTGGTTTCCTTTGGATTGTATATTGCTACATTTTTACCTATTCATTTTGCACAATTTACAGCTGTTGGGACTAACACAATTTCCCGCTTCTGATACATTTGAAAGGAATATTTATATTGTATTGTGAAGTCCCCCTTGGCCAAAGCACTGATGAATTTGTGTTTATGCTCCAGATTAAGACTTTTAAATTCTACAAGTATATAAATGGAGCAATAAACCCACTTAAGGGCTTGTATATTCCTGGAGTAAGGCTTAAGCTTTTCAGAGCTTATTACTCATAATATTATTTTCATTCTTGGACAAAACTGTGTTTTTCTTGCTTTTTGAGTGAATTATGCTTTCGTATACACAGTGAGGCAACAGGATTATGCTAAAACACTCTTAGCCTTCAAAGGATATAGTTCTGTAAATATCATCCTTTTGCCACAAGATTTCTACTTTCTACTACCAGGAGCTTTTATTATTACAACTGGAACATGCAGAAATAACTGCCTCTCTGTGTCTTTAGTGAAGACCATTTCAGTGCATTTTATTTCTGTGTTTGCACTTCCATTTTTGGTAGTATTCAAAGAATTGTTTTGAATGGCTTAATGTTTGCTTTCGCAGAAGTGCTGTCCCAGATTCAATTCAAGAACTTTATTGATACTAAAATCCTTTCTAATTCCACTACCAAGGACTGGCAAAACCTCACTGTGTCTGGAGGAAGCACTAAATTTTTCTTATGTGTCTTAGGAAAAAGAGGGTTAATGTGAAATTGATGCTACAGGTACAACTGCACGTGCTAAGGTGTCTAGAGTCCTGGATCTTTCTTGGTGTAATTCTGACCACACTTCGAAGGTAGAATATTTAGATTCTAACTTTATCATAATTTGGAGGAGATTGGAACATCAACAAGAACGACATATGGCAAAGTTTTTTCTTAGCTGCCGATGTGTGTGGATCAACCAACAAAGTTATGTAAATAAATGTATGCAGTCTATTTGATATGATATGTTTGAATATTTTTTTTTTTTTCCCCTCCAGCTGGTAACTGTGATCTCAGATACAACTCCTTCGTGTGTGAGGGTCAAAAATGAGTAAGAGCCTGTTAATAGAGGACAGTGGGAGTTGTAGAGAAGGAAAGACAGGAATAGAGTCTGCCTGAGCATTTTTTTCTGTTCAGCTTTGGCAATTCTGTAAAATGCTGCAAAGGATGAAAATGTTGATCCTGGCATTTGTTCTGGACAGTTCTGATAGATTGAGTTGGATGATAGCAAATAGTCAGCTGGGAAAGGCTGGTTCCCCAGTAGAACCTTCACAAACTGAGATTTCTGAGTAGAGAGAGGTCTGAGATTCTGTAGGAGGATGTGATGTGCTAGCAGTGAATTAACTGAGGTGGAGTATTGTGTCCTTGTGGCTAAACACAAATGTATGAGTTTGTTGTGCAAGGATCCTTCCCCCTGTAACTGTCTAGGGTGGAGAATAGTGGAGATTAACAGCTTGCTGTGTTCATAGAGAACATACATTTCTAGAATTGTTAAAGCTAAATCCTGAATATTCAAAATAAAGTTAGTTTGAATATATTAAGTGAGGCAGTGTAGATTTTAGGGGAGTTACCTGCTATACTTGTTATCTTCTGGTTTTTTGGTGACTGTAGGAATGTACCAGTGAAAGGCATTTATTTTTTTCTTCTGTGGCTAGTACAGAATGTCCTAAAGCTTTTTTCCTTTTTTTTTTTTTTTTCTCCCCACTCTAGAGGGAAGTTCCTAGGCAGAAAGCTAAGGTGTGGATGTACAACACACTGGCTGTTCTGCATGGGCTTCATCACTGATGTTGTAGAGTCATAGAATCATGATAGAATCATTGCAGTTTCTTCCTATTAGTTTCAATGTAGTGTTTCTGGCACTTGAGTGTTACTGGTCTCCATGTGGAGAGTTAGCACCAAGTGTAAACAACGTGCCTGTTGCACAGCAGGTAGCTTATACAGTCTGCAGAAAACAGATTTTAATTCTTTTATGTCACATGGGCATATAGATCTCTGCCTGAATGTGTTTTTCCCTTTGTGTGTCTAAATGTAATTTTTTTTTTTTTTTAAGGATTGGACCTATCCTATGAGGAGAGAGATGCAGGTATGACACTTCCTTTTTCTTACTGAATGCACTAAAGGTTTTGACTCAAATGGTAAATGAAAGTGCCCTGTAAAGGAGCTGGGATCAAAATCAGTGTCAGGAGGCACAGTGGGAGATATGTGAGAATTGCCTGCTTAGGGTGCAGGTGTGATTGCATCTCTGCTGTGCAAATACAAAAAAAAATAAAATTTAAAAAAGTAATTTTGTCCTTTCTTCAGAATGCCCCAAATGCTACATTTTTGTCTTTGTGAACATTTTTATAAGGCAGTTGCTTAAAATGCATTGAGACTTTGTTTTTTTAATTTAAATTTGCTTGGAAACGTGTTCTCAAATAGGATAGACAATTAAAATTTTCCTACCATGGTGTCAGCTAAATCTCTATACAAGATAAGATCTACAGACCCACATGTCTTTATTGGTGGGGAGATAAATGGTTAAAAACTGATATTTTCCTACTACTAGGACAAAGCTAGAAGCCTTACCCTGTGTGTATCTTTTTCCATGAGAGCGATTTGGAATTGGTATGCAAAGTTAGAGTTCCTTTCATTTGATCTGGGGCTGGGTAAGATGTAGTAATCAAACTGGAACTTAGTCCAAATAAAGGACTTAATTCCTGTTCCAAAACAAGATCTCCTCCACAAAGATCCTATTTCTTTTATGTTGCCAAACCAATTTTTTTTCCCCTTCGTCCTGTTACAAATGACATTTGATAACACATTTCTCACTAATATGTAAATTAATTGTTTCCAAGGCCGTAGTTTGAGTTGAGTGCAATGTGTTATTTCAAATAATTTTGAGTTGGTATTAAATGTCTGTTTTTTCTGTCCCCTAGGAAATTTTACCTGGGTTATTTTTAGGCCCATATTCTTCGGCTATGAAAAGCAAGGTACGATGTTGTGAATGGTGTCTCATAAGGAAACTCTGCTGTGACAATTTGTTCCTGTGGTGATATGTTCAAGCGTTATCTATATAGGTGTAAAGTCAGCTGCAATCCTGAACCAGAACATGAAAGATGCCAGAATAGATGTAATACATTGTTTATAGGATGGACCTTTTAGCCTGTAGAATTATCAGGCTGGGGCTGGCGTCTGTGTTTTCTGTAACAATCTTGTGAGCTAAAGGGTTACTTCAGGAGAAAAATGAAAAAAGAGCCCTAATTAAATAAATTCTTTGTTGTGGCTTGAAGTTGTGCCTGCATCTGTACACGCACACACGTTTGTGCTCCCTCAGTGCACTTAGTCAGTTTTACCTGCTCCTTCCAAGCCAGAGAAAAGGGCAAGTTTGAAGTGACTCAGACACTAATTGCTGTGAGCATTCACCTGTGAGCTTTTTGTATTAAAAATTGAGACCTGGGAACTCACACGGACGCAGTAAAATAAGGTAAATATCTATCCACAATAAAATCAAGCACTGCTAAGACAAAGCTTGAATCTGCAAGCTCACCTTGTAGTTTAAATTATCTTAATTTCAATGGTCTGATTTGAGCAAGAGCCCAACACTACCTGAGAATTACTACATTGTATAGGGACTTGTAATTTCAGGCAAAATTGAAAGGTGGGCAGAGACAAATGAGTTCATTGAGTGCTGCCTTCACTGCCTGTTCTTTTTATCATGGTTAAGAATGCTTTTTTTGCAGCTCCTAATGGCTGTGGTTTTGTCTTTTTGAAAGATAAAATTTTTCACGCTATGCTTTGAATATTAGAAAACTACCTCTGGTTTTCCTTGAGGACGTGATATAGCCCTGTTGTGTATTTAAGTATAGTTTTTCTTTTTATTACTGTGCAATAGCTGGATTCAGTAATTTAAAAAAAAAACAAACCAAACCCACTCTGTTTGTTTTCTTTTTCCACAGCTACCTATACTTCAGAAACATGGAATAACCCATGTGATATGCATACGGCAAAACATTGAAGCAAATTTTATTAAACCAAACTTCCAACAGTTATTTAGGTGAGAAATTATCATAACACACAGACCTGTAAACAATGAAAAGTCTTAAGCACCTTATTCTGTATTAATGAGATTTTGTAATGTTAGTGTTCTTTCCAAATGCTTTCACATTGTAAAGACTATTTGAAAAATGTGCTAAGGTGTAGGAAGACTTCTAAATCCAAACTTTATTCAACCTGTTGGACTCTAGGCATAGACAAATCTGCAAGTTGGAATTTTCCATTAGTTTGCAGTAACTGTCCTCAGTTCTAACGTTGTTAGTTCTTAGAAAACATTTGAGGTAACTTAATCAGAATATGTATCTCAGAAAAAGTTGTGTAGAGTCCCAGGAAACAACACACTCCTGTGTTTACAAACTAATGGGGAGCAGGTGAGTACATAGTACACTGCTTTCAAAGGCGAGTCACCTGTAGAGTAGCACTTGTGAATTTCTTCTACTCTGAGAGGTGACTTTGGCAGGGGATGTTGGAGAAGGTTCCTCACTTGCTTTTTTCATAAGGGCAGTTCCAGAGGTTCCTTGACTGTAGAATTTCTGGAATTCAGCCCAGAGAGTGAAGGCACGAGGGTGGAGCTGGCTTCCTTCTGTAGGTCAGAGTATTGCAGTGGGGTTGAATCAGCTGCACGTGTACAGCTGGCAGCAACTCGGTGTTATTGTCTACTCACAGCAACTGTTTTCCTCGTAGGTATTTAGTCTTGGATATTGCAGATAATCCAGTTGAGAATATAATACGATTTTTCCCTATGGTAAGTATTTGTGTGTCAATGGGAATGGTTTGGGAATGGAGTTTGCCCAGTAAGAGTTTTCTGAACTAACAGCTACCAGTTTCATGTTCTGGAAGGGCTACGGACTCTTAAATGATGTTATGATTGCTGCTTTAGTAAGGGTAATTAACTCCTTTTACAAGAATAGAAACTGAGGCAGAGTTGTAAGACCTGTATCTTTTTTTTTTTTTTTTCTTTGAGACCATAATAAAAAAGAGAGATTGGTCTCAAAACGAAGAAATCGGGTCATGGGGAAACACTGGAGAACTTGGCCTGTAGGAAACTTCTTTGTTGAGCCCGAGAGTATTTACATCTCTTGTATCAAATCCTAAAACAAATACCACAGAAAATAGTAACTAGTTGGGGTAACTAACAGCATATCGACGTGTTTATTGTAGAGGAATTAAAATAATTTGATGTTAAACAGTACCCATTACATATTGATGTTTGGAAATAGAATCAACTATGAACTTAGTTTCAAGCTATGTTTTTGTATCTTGATTTTAGGTTCGTTTGCAACAGATCAAAAGCATTTTGTTCCCCCACCCCTAAAAATCCCCAAAGCCCCATCAAAAAGCTCTTCTGGTTTCCCTGCACGGGGTAGGGTTGGTCATGATTTTGCAAAACAAGGCAACAAAACAGTTGATGATTTGCAGCTTTTCTAAGATATAATGCAATTTGATCAAATTGCATCCTCTGCAAATCTCACAGTTACTGACACCCGAGTAGCTCTGTGTTGGTTGAATTTTTAAGAGTCTAGTCTGAGTTTTCCCCACAATAAATTATTTAGCTTTTGCATTTCATCTGCCCAGCTGTCTCAAGCTGGCAGTATTCCACAGACCTCACTGCGTGACGTTTTGCCTTAGAGATTGATTAAATAATTTGATAATTGAAAATATCATTGGAGAACTTCTAGGAGGACAGAGGTGGCAGTAGAGTAGTCCAGGCTGTATTGCTGTTGATGTGTGTGGGTTTGGGTTTTGTCCCCCAGCAACTTTAAGCAAAGATGTTGGGAATTTACTTTTTATTCTAGTGGCGTAATATGTGACGTGATGATTGTAAAAGGCACACGTACTGGATTTTTATGCATTTTTGTTTCTAACTTCCTGCTAGTTTTTCACTGATTTTTATAGATAGTTCAAATATAGTTTTATAGATAGTACAAAAGGAATATAAATGTCCAGTTGAAGTGATGTCTAAGTGTGTATAACCAGAGCGCATTATTGTCACTGTATATAAAAATCTGATACAAAAATGCTACCAAATTTAAATGCAAGTAGCAGTGACATTGAAAATAATCTGAAACTTTGATTCTTGTATTTATTTTTTTTTTAGACTAAAGAATTTATTGATGGAAGTTTACAAAGTGGAGGTAAAGTCATATTAACTTTTTTCCTTATTTACTAATATATTGTCATTAAAGCTTTAAAACTAACTTAGAGGCTCTTAAGTATGAGATCTTCTTAACTTTGGGGTTTTAATGTGCTTGACTTGAACTATATTATACAAGTTCAGAGCAAAGTGTTCTTCTTTCCTTTTGCCTCCAACTGGAAAACAAACCTCTTTGTGTATCTGCTTTGTTGTTTGTGTTGGTTTGTTTTTTTTTTCCAGTTCAAACACAACTGTATTATGTGTGAGAGGTTTTTTTGTCCCCTTTCTAAAGTAGGGCCTTAAATCTGTGTTGTGGTCCTGGAATGCCGATTCTATTACTCAAAATCCTCATAGAAGCAGGAACTTGTGCTTCTGTATCTCAGGACAGTAATGAGCAGAGTGTAGTTAGCGTGAAGAAAGACACACCAGTTATTCCTAGGATGTACCTTGCTACTGTGTAGTTCTCCACAACAAGGAATGTAGCTTATACTTCAAAGAATTTTCTTCAGTCTGTCTAAGTATTGTTGATTTTGTTTGGTTTTTTTTTTCCCTCCTTCTCAGGAAAAGTTCTTGTCCATGGAAATGCAGGGATATCTAGAAGGTAGGAAACTATCCATCCTGCTTATTAATCCTTTTTTAGGCTGTGGAAATACATTTTACTAATGTTTTTTTGTTTCTTTTCAGTGCTGCCTTAGTTATTGCATACATAATGGAAACATTCGGGGTGAAGTACAGGTAAGAACAAAGCGTGGGCACATAGATAACTGTTGGTCTGAAAAGGCTGAAGACAGAGAGTACTTCAGAGAAGCAGTCTGGCATGTCTGTAGGTACTCATTTTTTAATTCAAGTGATATAAGTGAATAATAATTTTGGAGGGAACATAAACAGTCGTGTGTTGATGCACAAGTCAGTTGTTACCCACTGAGATTGAGTGAAGACTGTATGTGGGGCAGAGTGTTCCATTTCACTGCAAGTGTGTTTACATCCCTTCTTAAAGGAGGAGTAGCCACCTGCTGCTCCTGGGAACAGGGTATCAGCCTATGGGAAACTAAGGGGGAGGCCCTAAGATGCTGTTCTGAGTGGTGTAGGGGAGGGCAAATAGTATTTTACAACTGGTCCTTCCTACTTTGGTTGGTATATAAGGAGCAGTTAGTGGTATATTTTCAAAGAACAGATAAACAGAAGGAAGACTCATAAAACCACAGACTTCTGTCGTTTGTTTTCCACTGAAGTATTTTCTCTCTCCTTTTCTTAAGGGATGCATTTACTTATGTTCAAGAAAGAAGATTCTGTATTAATCCTAATGCTGGATTTGTCCATCAACTTCAGGTGACTTGTTTTTTTTCTTTTTTCTGGTCATGACTCAAAAACCATTTGATGCATCACCTTCCTGTAAAGCAGCTGTTTCTACTTAGGCTTCACATCTACTGTGTGAGTAGTAGAGCTTGGGAGGAAGGTGGACGGGTACCCTCATTCATTAGACTTAAGCTTTAGACAAAGCAAATCCAGGAATGGAGGAGAAATTAAAAATCCTGTTTTGTGCAGTGATTAAGAGGCTCTGAAATGGCTTAATTGGTGGTTAAGGGAAGTGTGTGGCACGTAGCAGTGATGCTTTTTGACACTCGCACTCGTAGGTGATGACATTCACAAGTCTGAAGCAGCAAACAGCGGTGTCAGGAAGTGGCTTTATCATATTCCAGGAGTCTGTTGGGTGAATGTAGGGCAACCACCAGGCTTTAGGGGGCTGGAGCATCTCCCTCACGAGGAGAGGCTGAGGGATTTGGGTCTTTTTAGTCTGGAAAAGAGAAGACTGAGGGGGGATCTGATCAATACCTATAAATACCTGAAGGGTGGGTGTCAGGAGGATGGGGCCAGTCTATTTACAGTGGTGCCCAGGGACAGGACAAGAGGAAATGGGCACAAACTTGACCATAAGAAGTTCCACCTAAACATGAGGAGGAACTTCTTTGCTGTGAGGGTGGCAGAGCCCTGGAAGAGGCTGCCCAGAGAGGTGGTGGAGTCTCCTTCTCTGGAGACATTCAAACCCACCTGGACACGTTCCTGTGCAACCTGCTCTGAGTGAACCTGCTTTGGCAGAGGGTTGGACTAGATGATCTCCAGAGGTCCCTTCCAACCCCATGTCATTCTGTGATTCTGTGAGGTTGAAACAGATCTGTAGTATCTCTGCTATTACTTAGGTGGGCAGCAACAAGATGATTATCTCCTGAGTTTAGGTAGTGTTTTTTTTAAAATCATTCCCATGAGGATTTGTGTGGTACCAAAAGCGTGACAGGTCACTGGAACACAACTTCAGAGCTGTCTATGGTTTGTCCTCATAAAAAATCTCTGAAGCCGCTGTGTTCTGAGTTTGTGTTGTTTCTCTCTCTGAATTGGCTGCTGGGGAAAACGGGGAGTTCTCTAAACATTCTCATAGAATTTTTTAATGAAAGTTTACTCTCTTCCTTAAAGATGACAAGAAATGGCTTTAACCTTTCTTTTGCTCTGTCTTCCTGATGATTTTTATCATTCAAATCAAAGCAACAAAGAACTCTCCTCTAAAATCCCCACCTTGCTGTAAGATACTCTCTGGTCTGCCCTAGTGAACTCTCGGAATTAGTGCTCCTCATCCTTGCAAAGGATTAATAGCAATATGCATTATTGAACTTTTTTCAGGAATATGAAGCCATCTATCTAGCAAAATTAACCATCCAGATGATGTCACCACTGCAGCTGGAGAGATCCCTCTCGGTTCCACCTGGTACTACAGGTCAGAAGCCTCTGCTGTTGTGTGTGATGCCTCCTCCCTTCCCTCCCCGCTGTCAGGAGGTGCCTTTTGCACCCTCAGCCGTGGTGAATCTCAGAGTTTGGGAAGGAGATGGTGCAGTTGGTGTGCAAGACACCCTCAAACTCTAGTCTGCTGTACTTAAATATTCTGTTCTCCTATGGTTGAACTTTCCTGTGGTGTGACCTACTGGAGAAAGGCCCCGAGTTCCTTAGGGGAATCAAGAGTGATGGGCTGAAAGCAATATTCATGACATAATCACTGCCCTTAAAATTAAGGCAATTCCTCTGGAAAAAAAGCCTTAGAACAGATAACAGGGGATTTGGGCATGTAAAAAATGTTACCTTAATCATATAGAGTTGTTGCAGGAGCAACCCGTGCTGAAGGTCAGGGAAAATGGAGTTTGGTGAGAGATGTGAAGGGAGGGCAAAACATGGTGGGTTGTAGGAAAGTTCTCCTCCCTGTGGAGAAGTGTGAGGGAAGAAAAACGGTGTCAGAAGTGGCTGTTCAAAAGCTGAGTGTCTTCAAAGGGTGTCACAAGAAGGCGGTGACAACTGCCCTGTAGTTCTACTC